TATTTATTGTAGAGATGAGGTCTCGCCAAGTTGCCCAGGCGGGTCTTGAACCCATGGGCTTGGGCAATTCTCTCACCTCAGCCTCCCAAGGTGCGGGATTACAGGCTGAGCCACTGAGCCCGGCTGCAATAAATTTTTAAAAAATTAGCTGGGCATGATGGCACATACCCGTAGTTCTGGCTACTTGGAAGGCTAAAGCAGGAGGATCAACTGAGCCCAGCAGGTTGAGGTTGCGGTGGCTGTGAGCATGCCACTGCACTCCAGCCTGGGTGGTAGAGTAAGACTCCAACTCAAAAAAAAAAAATCTTTGAAGAGATCTTGGATAGAAGAGAGACCCTGAGATTAGACACTTGCCACCACCCACACACCCACTCATATGGTGAGAGATAAACCGGAAGTTTCTTTCCTTTTATTTTTAATTGGCAACATTGAGTCTTGAATGGATCAAAGGTTTTATTATTTCAGTAGTGCCCTGGAAATAACACATTAAAAAGGGAAGACCTAGAATATTGGTGTCAGAAAATAACTGATATATAGAACAACTTCAAGAATTTCAGGAAGTCAGATTTCTGAGTAATAGATTAATTACAGGAGGAGTAGGCAAAATTTTAAGCAAAATAGAATCCTTTTGATTATGTAGCATCAGTAAGTTGCAAGACTTAAATGATTACCTTAAATAGAATTTTGTAAATAAAGTAGCAATATTTCAGTCAAAACTCGGTTGAGAGCCAGGTATGGTGGCTCATGCCTGTAATCCTTGTGCTTGAGAGGCTGAGGCAGGAGGATTGTTTGAGGTCAGGAGTTCAAGACTAGACTGGGGTAACATAGTGAGACCTTGTCTCTGCAAAAATTTTTTTAAAGGAGTCAGGGCCAGGTACAGTGCCCCATGCCTGTAATCTCAGCACTTTGGGAGACTCAGGTGGGAGGATTACTTGAGCCCAGGAGGTTGGGGTCAGCCTGGGCCACATAGTGAGACCTCGTCTCTACAAAAAAATTAAAAATGAGCTGGGTTTGGTGACTTTCACTGCAGTCCCAGCTACTTGGGAGGCTGAGGCAAGAGGATCACCTGAGTTCAGAAGCTTGAGGCTGCAGTGAGCTGTGATCATGCCACTACACTCCAGTCTGGGCAGTAGAGTAAAACCCCAACTCAGAATAAACAAACAAAAAAGAGCCACGCGTGGTGGCACGTGCCTGTAGTTCCAACTACTCAGAAGGCTGACGTAGGAAGATCACTTGAACCCAGAAGTTTGAGGCTACAGTGAGCTATGGTTATTCCCCCTACCTGATATGATCCACAAAAATTAACTCAATGGGCCGGGCTCGGTGGCTCAGCCTGTAATCCCAGCACTTCGGGAGGCCGAGGTGAGTGGATTGCCTGAGCCCGCGGGTTCGAGACCTGCCTGGGCAACTTGGCGAGACCTCATCTCTACAATAAATCAAAAATTAGCCGGGTGTGGTAGCGCACGCCTGTAGATCCAGCTACTTGGATGGCTGAGGCGGAAGGATCGCTGGAGCCCAGCAGGTCGAGGCTGCGGTGGCCGGGAGCGGCCACTGCACTCCAGTTTGGGTGACTGAGTGATACTCCAACTCAAAAAAAAAAGAAAGAAATTGAGAGGGCAGCCCACAGAATGAGAGGAAATACTTACAACTAATAAGGGACTTGGATCCAGAATATGTAAAGAGGTCTCATAACTCAATATGAAAAAGGCAAATAACATGATTTTTTAAGTGGGCAAAGTATTTGAATAGACATTTCTCTAGAGAGATATGCAAATGGTCAACAAGTACATGAAAAAAGATGCTCAACATTGTTAGCTTTTAGGAAAATATGAGTATAAATCAGATCCACAAAAAAATACCACTGCATCGCTGGGCTTGGTGGCTCAGCCTGTAATCCCGTGCCTTGGGAGGCTGAGGTGAGTGAATTGCCTGAGCCCACGGGTTGAGACCCGCCTGGGCAACTTGGTGAGCCCTCATCTCTACAATCTG